ACAAAGAATCGGCGTACCCAACGCGGTCATTGGAAGCCCTTTGAAACCAGAAACAATCGCGATAAAAGGTGGACATCATAAAAACGACGATAATCATCTTAAAATTGAAAAAGAAACGAGAGAGCGTCAGTACGATCAACTTCCGGTAAGAATGAGGAAATCTGGGAACGCCACCTCGACTCTTGAGCCGGGTGATGTGTCTGCCACGCTTTTCTTCGAGCCGCCTCGCCTACCGTCACCAGTCTCAAAGAGAAAGAACCCTGCCGAAAAGTCCGACTATGCTGAACCCTGGGAGGAGAAGAGATTTGAAGAGCTGCCACCTTTACAGCCAGCGTTCATCAACTCTAGGTAGATCAAGTCCTGTCTGATTATTGTAGGCTGATACTATTTTAAGTTATTTAAGTTATTAATTATTTTTGTGTGGATGTAACATAGTTCAATAAAAATAGAAATATTAATGGTCTGAAATAGCTGAAACTTGAAAAATTTGAAATAGTTTCTGGAAGAGGTTAGTGGGGGAGATTCATTGTTACTGGAGGGAGATTCTATGTAAATGGAGGGAGATTCAATGCTGGTGGAAGGAGATTCAATGTTAATGGAAGGACATTTTAATGTTAGAGGAGGGATGTACAATCTTAATGGAGGGATATATAAAGTTATTCGAGGAAGATTCATTGTTTGCGGAGGGAGATTCAATGTTAGGGGAGCAGATTTACTGTTAGTAGAGGGAGATTCCACACGAGGGAGGGACATTCAACGTTACTTGAGGAAGATTCAATGCTAGTGGAGAGAGTTTTAATGTTATCAGAGGGACTTTCATTGTCAGTGGAGGGACATTCAGTTTTAGCTAATTATAAAAATTGTTGCCAAAAGTAAGTAACATTTTTGCGGAGCGTTTATTTTCGGGTAGGTTAGGGTTAGGGTTAGGGGTAGAACAGAAAACACTAAACGGCAAATATGATCAAACTGCCTTATTGTCAGACAACCTCTTAAAATGAATGAATCGCGGTTCTTAATGTTGGAGCAAAACACGATGATCAGAACGAATCATTCTTTGCTGTCTCCTACAAGTTTGTGTACTTGGATACCGTTATTGATACCTTCTCTTAACTTGGCGTTCCCAACACGCCACTGTGTCTTGAAGTTGTAAAATAAAAAAAAATACAAATCATCCTATGCCTCGTGATTGCAGGTCATCCAGTGAATATTCAGGGAACTCGGCCAATCAGGCTCGCATGTCCTTGACCTCGGAGGACCTCCACCCGGCGTCTGTCATTGACTTTAAGGTCGGAACCATGAACAGATCCACAAGCCTGGACCAGGTTCCGGGTAGCAAGCCCGGCCGACGGCCAAAGACCCCAAACGATGGGAAAAAGGGAATTTCACTCAGGTATAGACGGTCTAACAAGTTCTTTTTAGGTTCAGTCTCAACATTCAATATTGTTACGTATTAAACCACAACTGTCAACATTGTCACATAAAACGTCAATAGACAACATTGTCGCGAAAAATCTCAACAGTCAACTTTTTCACGTGAAATCTCAATTGTCAAAATTGTCATGTTAAATCTCACTTGTCAACATCGTCACGTAAATGCTCAGTGGTCAAAAATGTCACTGAAAATATTTTAATTGCCAGCATTGTCACGTAAAACCGCAATCGTCAACACTGTCACATGAAGCCTTAATTGTAAACGTTATCACGTCAAACCTCAAATGTCAACACTGTCACGTAACACCGATATAACTGGGTGATTTTCTAATGCCGTAAAATCTGATTGACTGCATGAGTGACGCCAACATTATCACACATATTTCTAATTGCATTTTTTGTTATCAAAAACAATTTATAAAGTTTTTTGTTAAAAAAAATATTATTCTGGTAGCCGTCACATTGCTGATATTTGTGTGTTCACTTCTTATAAATGCAACTGACAGCGGTATGACACAAGAGTGACAATGACCAAAAAAAAAAAAAAACCAACCCAATTTCAAGGAATTATAACAGAGATGTCGTAAGTGTTTTTGGTTTGTAGTGAAAGCATTGGGTTTCCAATCACTACTTAATGTTCCAATCACCACTTGCTGTTCCAATCAGTTCCAATCACTACTTGCTGTTCCAATCAGTTCCAATCAATACTTGCTGTTCCAATCACTACTTGCCGTCCCAATCAGTTCCAATCACTACTTGCTGTTCCAATCACTACTTGCCGTCCCAATCAGTTCCAATCACTACTTGCCGTCCCAATCAGTTCCATTCACTACTTGCTGTTCCTTCACTACTTGCTGTTCCTTCACTACTTGCTGTTCCAATCCAACTTGCTGTTCCATTCACTACTTGCTGTTCCAATCACTACATGCTGTTGCAATCACTACTTGCTGTTCCATTCACTACTTGCTGTTCCATTCACTCCTTGCTGTTACAATCACTACTTCCTGCCCCATTCACTACTTGCTGTTCCATTCACTACTTGCTGTTCCATTCACTACTTGCTGTTGCAATCACTACTTGCTGTTGCAATCACTACTTGCTGTTCCATTCACTACTTGCTGTTGCAATCACTACCTTCTGTTCCAATCACTACTTGCATTTCCATTCACTTCTTGCTGTTCCATTCACTACTTGCTGTTGCAATCAGTACTTGCTGTTCCAATCACTACTTGCCGTCCCAATCAGTTCCAATCACTACTTGCTGTTCCAATCAGTTCCAATCATTTCCAATCACTACTTGCTGTTCCAATCAGTTCCAATCAGTTCCAATCACTACTTGTAGTTCAGTTCCAATCACTACTTGCTGTTCCAATCGGTTCAAATCACTACTTGCTGTTCCAATCGGTTCAAATCACTACTTGCTGTTCCAATCACTACTTGCTGTTCAAATCAGTTCCAATCACTACTTGCTGTTCCAATCGGTTCAAATCACTACTTGCGGTCCCAATCACTACTTGCGGTTCCAGTCACTACTTGCTGTTCCAATCACTACTTGTTCAGTTGGGGACATTTGCTTGAAACAAACGTGGACAAACTGTAAAAAAAAAGAAACTTTGATGAACGCCACCGAAGCTGTAGCTGGACGGGACGGTGACGGTGACGGTGACGGTGTCGGTGACGGTGACGGTGACGGTGACGGTGATGGTGACGGTGACGGTGGCGGTGACGGTGTCGGTGACGGTGACGGTGACGGTGACGGTGACGGTG